GACATGAACTACCTAGGTAAAGGAGGTGACATGAACTACCTAGGTAAAGGAGGTGACATGAACTACCTAGATACAGGAGGTGACATGAACTACCTAGGTACAGATGGTCAGTCAGTAGAATATGATTAGCTGTGCCCCTGCTTTGTCCACTAGAAAGACGGTTAATTGTCATTTGATAGCTTGGAAAAAAAGACAGTTTATTAATGTGTTGAAAGTGACATGAAAACTGCAATGAAAATGGTCGTCACGGGGATATAAACACAAGACCTAGTTAGAACGGGTTTCTATGGTAACAACACCGGGTCTCGGTTCCGGCCAGATACGCGCATGCTACGCACGTCGATAAGATAAAAATGAGCAACTGACGCCACTTCGACTTATTAATATACTTACCCACCGAGTGTCGAATTTTAATGTTTTCATACGACAAGTATCCAATTGTGTGTGTGTCACGAAGACGCTAAACAAAAGTTTACATTTCTACCCTCCACTTCTGAGGTTCTTTTGTGATATACGAATTTATCATTTTCTTTATTCTCGCTAAGACGTCAGATGGCCGCCATTAAAAACGACGCAAACCTGCTGGCGACCTTGACTTGCCAACAAACATGACTTTCTTGTTATAGCAGCTTAGCGAGGTATAGTACTAATCGAGTTTACTGTAAAAACCAACCATTTACAGGGTAAAGATTTACTGGACACACATACGATGTAATTATTTCAAGTTTATTACACCTACATAGTTGCGAGATCAAATGAAACATTAATTTCAACTTATCTAACACAACTAAAGATTGTTTATTTGTCATAAAACAACATTAGAATTACTGTATATTTAAATATTACATCATTTATCAAGTCCCTTAAGGTTTATCCCGATAAGAATGTATACCTATTAATAAGAACAGTAAATACGTGTATAATAATCTGTCAACTACACCAATCTGTTATATCCGGTACCAGTGAGGCCTTTTCGCCTGATACCACGGCGCTGTTTAGGCCGGCTAAGATATTACATAGTGATGGTTGAGAGAGTAATTGTTTGACGGTTGTTACATTGTAGAGATGGATTAAAAGTGGGTGATGTCTAATTAGGGTAAAGGTTTTAACACTATTATAATAGCATTTTATTCCAACGACGACGGGCTCCACAGATTACCACACCCTAACAACTCTAGTTTCAAACTTACACAAATGGCTATGTGCGCTACTGGTCGGTAGCACCCACCGCATAGTTGTTTACAGTCACTCTTATAACGCACTCCATACTACGAAGCGAGAGTTAGCCACAACAGTGGACCCTCAGATTCACTGTCCGACCCGCTAACCTGTAGACCACGCCTGGCCTACACAACTGAAGAAAAAAAGCTTATACATTGAAATGAATGTCAAGTTTCAACCAAAGACAGAAAATTGAATACGATGGAAAACGCCAGAACAAATGTGATACTTTCAGTAACTGTCGTATACATATTATGAAAGCTTCACTACTGAAAAGCTATTTCAACTGTAACCTGAAATGATGTTGCAAGACCAACTTAAGTTTCAAAAACTCCTTAAAGATCCTACTTCCATTAGCGAAACTAAACTTCAAAGTAGACTTTAGAAGTGTTTCTGAAAATGTCTGCATTCAAACGTCTTGCGACCCCCTAAGATCCTCCTACATACACAATTAAAGCACGATGTAATCATTCACAAGCAAGAATATTACATAATTACGGAGGGAGGGAGGGAGGGCATCACAGACGGCGAGCCTGAAAAAATTCACCAGAAAAACCACATGCGCAAGACAGCATAGTCGTGAATGTGCGCATAACGTAGGTCGCCATCCAGCGAGCACTGTAAGTTAGCTCAAGACCATACCGTCAGCAAGCTAATAACTTTTATGAAATAAAAAAACAAGATGTTTCGATCTTCCATTTCAAAGTATATTTATCTAGACAACCATAAAAAGCAAACTAATATCTCAGATCTATTACGTAATAAACATTCAGGATCTGATTTCTAAAAGTTTAAATACATTTCTAAAATAAAACATTTCCATCAATACCTTCAGAGTATTAGAACTTGGTTTTTAAGAGTATTCAAACTTTGTTTTTCCTGTAGATTACCATATTTTTATTAGATGAAAACCCACTACAGTAATACCATACAAGTTTTAGTGTTAAAAAAAAACATCATTTTAAACTTGAATAAACAACACAGAATGCACAAAGACCGAGTTGAAATATTTCTGCTTTAAGTTTATTTCCAAGTTTTATTTACATGATATAGTAACGTTCTCGTGCATTTTATACGAGACCTCGTGACGAGCTTTTAATCTTGCTGGCTCTTTGCCAGCTCCGCACATCTTCCTAAGCCTTGTCTTTTGAAATAAGTCGATTGTAAACATGAGCTGAACTTCTAACATTAACAAGGGGAGTGTCACAAAACAGTTGACCACCATTTACGCGTAGTTGTGTCATTAAAAAGAAAAAAGTCTCCTACCCTTTGTCCATTAAAATATTTCTCTTCTACTGTACTATTATCTTTTACAGTTTCGCGGAAAATTACTAGTTCTTAACTAATAAAACTACGTTTAACCAAAACTATAAATACGCTAACACCTAACATATATGTCGTCCGTTTCTGACCATCTCAAAGGGTTTACATGTCATCAGATGGTACGCTTTTGTTATATTTGAAACTTGAATAATAATAATAAAGGTTAATTTGCACATTACGCTAATTTGTTCCGCCCGCACAACTAGGCCAAAATCGTGATCCGCCATTACGTCAGGCACAACTGATAAAAAACGTAAGCCTAGATTGCTAGCTTGTGCATGTATATGTATACTTTATAATTTACCAACGGCGCGGGGGTTAAAAACTAGTAAGCAACTGTGGTGCCGATCCACTGCTACCATGGTAACCAAAAGACTCGGGGGGGGGGGGGTGGTCCGACATCTCTTATCGCACGAACTGCATGCCGGGGAAAAATACCACGAGCACAGGGCGCGATTTAAACCGAACATGATTAAGGGTTGTTATAAGAGTAAAAATAGGTTTTACATGATAAGCCTGGGTAGGCTCATGTTTCAGTAACCTAAAGGACGTGCGAAGCCTTGGAAATATGTAACAGGACCCGATACTCAACTGGGAATTAAAAGCACTTTTAAAGGCCTAGCAGGGTGCTGTAAAGTATGGCTTTCATTTGTGAAGATGGGAGAAACCATGAAATTTTTTTTTCTTTAGCTTCTCGTATTATGTTCGTTCCGTATGGGAAGTCCAACGATGTTTCCGTTGTCTTAAATTACAGACGTTTGTAAATAATACCTGTACAGAATGACGAACGTCACCTTTTTCTCTCTAGAACCGAACAATGTTTATTATCTATTTGTTAAAGATAGAAATACAGATATTATGTAGTAAATCAGTAAACCTTGGTATCATGTGCCACAGCTTTACCTGACCAATGAACTTGTAATTTCAATATTTATTATAAAGTAACCAAGTTTATCTACATACTACGTGTTGCAGTACTAATATGATTAACAATGTTAAGAGGGTAGAAAATAACGTGACGATTTGATTACAAAACGATATAAAACAAACCCAAGTAAGAATGATATACAATATGCCAAAGACCAAATTTGGGGTATTATGTCATCAAGACAACTGAATACATGAGAACATCTCTGTATTCACAAAACTAAACAAACTGACCATTTTCATTGTGGAGCGCAGGTTTTATGAAGTAACCATTGTTCAGCGTTCCTCACGTCTAAAGTTGATTTACTAAAAATAAAATAATGCGCGCGTGTGTGTGTGTTTGTTTTCTTATAGCAAAGCCACATGGGGCTATCTGCTGTGTCCACCGAGGGGAATCGAACCCCTGATTTTAACATTGTAAATCTAAAGACTTACTGCTGTCCCACCGAGAGACAACAAAAAAAGGCAGTTCTATTATTACCTATATTTTAATTTGACAATTGTCTTTAACTGCCGAAACCATGGTCATTAAAAAATAAATTTTTTTGTAAAAGGTACAATTGTCTGTCTGATTTTTTCCTCAAATACACATTTTTTTTTAAAATTCTTAATATCCTAACAAAAAACAACTTAAGGGTGATTAGCATCCTGATGTTAAACATGAGAGAAATATTTGAAAAATCTTACTACAAATGAGGTGAAGTTGTCATATACTTATATCATTTTCAAGGTTTGGGAACGAAACAATCCAACTTCAAACAATGTTACAGCAAACTTCATTGAAAAGGTAACGAGTAAGTCTTTATCATATACTCATCATTAAGGGAATAAAAATTCATAGACTCTAAGGACCAACATCACTGAATGGAACAGATGAATTAAATGGTGTCGAGAGAGAGAGAGAGAGAAATAAAGCTGCATACAAAATGATGTTAAGAAACATTCAACGCTTAAAACAATATTATTTTGTTTTCCCTAACCCTTCTAATTACATTGCTACTTGCCTATTAGTGAAAAGCATATGGATGACTTATTTTTAGTCACAATTACAAAATGGTCTGCAAAGCATGATTGGTTTAAGTGAATGAGTTATTACGCCTGAATGAAACTATGAAAGATCTCAAGTTAAATTTTTACACAACACGAGAATATGTGGAAATAAATTAAATAATTGAAAGGTAATTCGTAAAACGTATCTTTATGCTGTCCTGTATAAAATATCAATTAGTAAAAATGATATTTTTATGTATGACATTAACTGTATATTAATTTTCTTTTGTAATAGATAAGTTCTGGAAACAAGATGTATGGGAGATAAATAGGCCTGTCAATTAAATAAAATATACAAAGCTCAGAGTGGACCCAACTTGTGCTTCAGTTAACTGTATTTTCGAAAATAGAAAAATATCTTTGAATAAAAACTGAGAGCATATTTAATAAAAAACTTCTCAGAAACAGACCTGAGCAGAGATGTGTTTAATTAATGTGTAGAAAATACTGTAATACAACTTGAATTAACTTAACTCACATTGTAAATTTCTAAGTATTTAAGAAATTTAGTAGAACTGGTGTGTCACTCCTAAAGTCTTCATCTCTGTCTAAAGCAAAATACAGTAGCTCAGACATCTCAGAAGCACTAAAAAAAATTAAATATATGTGGAAAAGTCTCAGCATGAAAATAACATACATATAATCAAGTAATTATGGAAAACAGTATTCAAATTTTATGGTCTACATTTATTATGCTCTATGCCTTAAATAAACACTTCTTTTGAACTATAAAAATTATATTTTAACACTATTAAGTCGAAATGAATCAATACTTCAATCATTATTTAAAAAAGAAAAAAAATTAAAGACAAAAGTTAATGCTTGTTTTAATTTAAAATACCTTAAAAGTTGTCGTTTACTAATACATCCATTGATATAGTGCCTGTACAAAAACAACGAATTAGTACAGAGTACAGCACAAATAATAGCCAATTCTGTAGTTATTGAGCTTAACTACTAACAAACAAACAAACAAACCTCCAGAGTTGTGTTTATATTGTGTTGTGTGAATATCAGTACTGTAATTTATTGGAAACTACATGTATTGAAACCCCTTTTTTTAGTATTATAAGCCTGCAGACTTGCTGCTATGCCACTTTGGGGGGAGGGGGTGCCACCTCTGAGGGAGCAGTTGGTCTTATACTAATTTTTAAGTTCATTATAAAGCATTCACAAAAAGTCATTTAAAATTTATTAAGTTCTGCTATCATTTCACAAAAAAAGGGGTCAGCGTTTGACAATTTTGTCTATTAAATATTGATGAAGCTGCATTACACTAGGTTTAAACACAAGTTTAACTACATAAACATCAAAACTTTTGACCATCCTATTATATATACACAGACATATTTAACTGTTGTTACTTTTAAAATATAAGTAATATATCTGTTGTGTGGAAAAAAACCCTTATAATCAATTTTTAACTGATGTTCCCACATCAGTGAAAAATATGACCTATTGCAAGAACTGTGGGTATAAAACGCATTCATGACGATAAATAACGTTATCGTCTGAAATGTGGAATAGATGTAGTGAAGAAAGCAATAGAGATTTTAAAAGCTTTACAAACCTGGCAGTCAATCATATTTTTGAGTTTAAATAAATGTAATAAACTTTTAAGGGTTACAATGCACTATTTGAATGCACTCAGGTGATCTTCTGTTTTGGACAAGATCTTAATCAAATTCTCTTTAACTTTTGTTTTTCAGAAGAGAACAATTTGAGATAACTTATCCTTGTATGACAACCTTTACATACTAAATTATTATAAATTTCATTCTAGTAGAAGTCTTCCTCTGAATTCTTTCCAATTCAGTGTTCTTCCTAAGCTTAACATTTCTTCAAAGTTTCAGTTTAAACACTAAATATACAATCAAAACGCATAATAATAATATTAATTTTAGTTTATCTAAGTGGAATTTTGAAGCTTCAAGTTACATTTACGAATTGATGAAGTTAAGTCGACTTTTACTTAGTAGGTTAAAGTCTAGTAATACTAATACTACTACCAGTAACACTAACTCTAAGAATACGAGAGTGAAGCAAATAATATAGAATTAATATGTCAACTACACTTCTGCCATGTTAGTCTTAGTACTGGTATTGCTAGGTTCCTTAAAACTTACATAAATTTTACAAGACTCAGTAATTATTTCTAAAGCATGATATTTGTTCAATTTTAATACTAAGCCTAAATTATAGTTTACTTATAACATTCATACCACTACTAATACTAATATTACTAGTATATTACCTGACGTTGTTAACACTGTACGAAAGTTCAGTGGGAATCAGGTTGAACAAGCTTTTCACATAATTTTTTATCTTCAAACATAAATCACAATAATATCAGCATGTACTTTTTATTTAACTATTGTTAGAATTAACACTAGCGCTTTGTAAATACTAACGTCAGTATTTAAATAGCAAGCTAATTCAGATATTCCTCAGTATGTTTTTTTGACATCAGATACAACATTCAAAACACAGATACTCTTGAACCAATGGCGACCATTCTGACTTTAGAAACTACAGGGTTTACATAAGTAAATACACGGGACTGCATTCAGAAACTGTATATCTCGCAGAACTCTAAATTCTGGAACTTAGAGATAAGTTACTGGAGGTGGAGAATAACAACAAAAAATTCAGGTTCACATCATCCCATGCTATTACTCTCGTATGAATATGACAAGTGGAATCACGTAAAATGACTGACAAGGATAGCCAAAATACCGTACTTAACTGTTTTTGATTGTTCATGTTTGTTGACATTTACGATAATACTTTGAGTTGCGAGAAGTACTAAATGTATCTCTTGTAATATTATTTAAAAGTAATATATTTCGATATAATTACATCTAAGTATAAAATACAGAAATTTAACTACTCGAACGAAATCGTAACTATTCTAACAAATCAGTACAGAGCAATTTTGGCTCTTAGCCAAAACTGTGTGTGGAAAAACGAAGTTTACTTGTACGTCGTATTTAGTTTGTAACACACTAAAACAAAACGCCGCTGCAACCATGGTCGACTAAAAACAATTTATTAAACCTTAACAACAACAAAAATCAAAAACGAAATTTTCACACAATTATAATACAAATTTTATCACTTACTCACGTACAAACAAATAATAAAAAAATAAACTAAATCCATGCCTGGCCAAGGACATGATACAAACGTTAATAAACAATAAAATATAAATATCAAGGTTAATAATTTCAATATATATAGAGGGATTATAGAAAAAGAGCCATAATAAGAAAAACAATATTCCAAAATTAAATCACTTCAGGATAAATATTGAACATCAATAACTCGTTCTCACTATGTCTCATGAACTACTCGTTTAAGATCAAAGAAAGGTTTTTATTTATTGTTTAGACCACGAAGTTACATATCATGTGACAAGCTAATATACATAAAATTTCACAACATTAATATCTGTACGTCACCGCTAGGGGAAGCATGTGTTAGTTTCATAATATAATTATTCTAATTCAACGTGCTCAAGCTAGAAAGTGAGTTAGTGCTTTAATACAAGTAAAAATTCATAGTTGAACTAAACATAGAAGAAATGATAAATGAACGGTAAACAAAACAAAAGTATAATTCACTATCTTACAAGTTACACTATTCACAAGTTACATACTTATAATTCAGTTTTATTTTCAAACATAAAACAAGGAATCCGTTTATCAAAAGCTTGTTGTATTTTCTGATATTTTAATTATCAACAAGGCGGAGACAATGAAGTTAACCCAGTTCACTAAGCTAATCAGACGTGACTTATATAAACTCCTTGTTTTACAAAAATACTGACCTGAGTTGGCGAAATCATATATTATCAAAGCTAATTATATTACCAATTTCATTTTTACCAACTAGATGTCACTACCAACTAACGCATCATTTTGTGACATTATCATTATTTTGTAATATTTAAACCTTAGTGTGTTTCATCTACTCAATATTTGATATATATGATGATTTCTTACTCCTTTCCAACTTTATTTTATTTCTTTAACTGGGTGTAGAAATGATTTATATCATGCAAAAAAGTATTATGGTAAACAGTTAAACAAAATCAATAATTTTAAAACATTAACAATGTTAGACACATAGTTAATTGTTATTGAATAAAGTTGTTTAAACATTTGTTTAACAACAAGTAAAATATTGGAATGGTCTATTCTTTCATTGGGGGGTTTCATTTCGATTAATTGCTATGATTTATTTATATGGTATTTTTTCCTATTTGGAAAGGAGAAAAGGTGACAAATTTGTTAAAACTTATAAAATCATAAAAAGGCACGAAAAAAAAAAAAGCAGCGCATCCTCTAATTCTGTAAATAAATTTATAATAGCATTTTTATTATGGAACAGCAGGTCTGTACACTATTAGTAGTGCTAGCAGTACGTTTGCAAACGGGGTGAACTAGAAGGGGGCGCCGTCAAACATCCGAGCTGCTGTGCGACAGAAAACGTTTATGACGTCTGCCCAAACAGTCACAGATCTGTACGGTAAAGCATATAAAGATGTGTGGGCAATCAGTAAAAGAAAGACA